CGGAAAAAAAAAAAAAAAGAGAAGGAATTCTGGTATGTGCTAGCTTCTCCAAGGCTGAATTTTACCCATTTAGGAGTTGAAATTTATACATGTAGCTACTGCCTTCTTGTCCGAATTTTCTATCGAAACAGGGAAAGAATTGGCAGTAAAATAAATGTGTTGTAAACTTGATTATGTAGAATTTAGCTTGATTTGGCTGCTATGATTTCTGGAGAGAAATCCCGTGTGTGAGTGTGGTTTTGCCAAGCCATTTTCTCCATTTTTCTATCCCGGGAGTGGAAGCCATATGCATGGGTGTTGTATGTATATATATATATATATGTAATTGTGTATATATACACAATTCGGTTGTGATGCCCAAATTTGAAGAAAATAAATAAATAAGTAAAGAAATAAATGTCGCGTTATGAGGGTTAATTACCGGCAATATTAGAAAGGAGTAAATATGTGGTTTCATATGAGTATTAATTCTTGAATATTTGGTTAGGTTCTGGATCCTTCGATCACTTTAGTGTGTGGATTGAGTCTTCGGTTTTATGCGAGTGAGGTAAGTAAATTTATGGTAAAGCCCTTTGATTTTAAAGCATATTTTAAACTATTTTTGAGATGGTGACAAGGTTTAAATTGATTTTATCAGCATCTGAGTGTGATTAAACTGAAATGAAAATTGTGATGATTTTTATGAAAATTATTATTTTCTGGAATTGAGCAGGATTGGAATGAAAATGAGAATTTCATTGTTTTTCTGGAGTTGAGCATGCCCACATGAAATTGTTTTCATTTGCATTGAATAAAGCATGCCTATTTGGAATTGACTGAACTGCTTTGATAAATTGAAAATTTTGTAAGTTTTGAGTTTTCTGTTAAATCCACGCTCACATGGAAATTTTTCGATTTATTCTAAAATTTGAGATTGATTATGAATTACGAATTTTTCTGTAAATCTTGCATGGTTTTGTCTCTGATATAGTCATGATTACTGACGCCCGCCAGTGGGAGTTTGTAAACGTTGGCACATGTCGACATGTTTACTGATATGACCGATTCATTCTGTAATCCTACCAATGGGATAAGACATTGGTAATTATTGACGCCTATCAGTGGGAGTTTGTTAAACACTGGTACCATTACTGACGCCTGCCAGTGGGAGTTTGTTAAACACTAGTACTTCTGTAACCCTGCCAATGGGGTTAAATATTGGTTATTACTGACGCCTGCCAGTGGGGGTTGTTAAACACTGGTACCATTACTGACGCCTGCCAGTGGGAGTTTGTTAAACACTAGCCATGACTTATAGACGAGACTACTGATGAGTTTTATTATGCATTAACGGTTTGTCATGGAACGCTTTGCTATTGAACTGAATTTGATTCTGCATTAACGGTTTATTATTGAACGTTTTGTTATGTTAAACTATTTGTCAGGCATGCACTAAAATTTTACCCAAGGGCTATCCATATTTACTCACTGAACTATCTCATAGTTTTCCTTGTTCACCATTTCAGGAAGCGAAACTGAGGATTGGGAAACAAAGTGGGAGTGACGAGGTAGAAGGCTAGCCATTCTAATTGGGTATAAGTTTTAGATTTATCATCCTTTTATAAGGTAGATTTATTCTTGAGATTTTGTGATTTGAAAAAGTTCCGAACCTTATGCACTTGTGGGACCCATCTCACGAGTGCACAGCGTCTACCACGTCTCCAGATTTGGGTTCTGGGGCGTGACAGTAATGCTGATGTGCATGCAATTAGCTTTTGTAAGAATGGAATCAAGGCATGGAAAGATGGTGATGTCCTTAAATGAAAAGAATAAAAAAGTGTAAAAGGAGAAGCTTCTAGATTTTTGACACATATCCAAACCAATGACGGTCTAAATATCATTTACGGATCGTCATTGGTCTGAATATCGAGGTACAGAAGGGTGGTGATGTCCTTAAATAAAAAGAATAAAAAAGTGTAAGAGGAAAAGTTTTTAGATTTTGGACACATATTTGGTGGTTCGAATATCATATATGAATTGTCATTGGTTCGAATATGTGTCCAAAATCTACTTCTTTGACCTAACACCTTATCTAGTGCCCGATTCATTCTGCTCTCGTTTAAGCCGCAAGATTCCTTATGCTTGCGCGCCAAAGAGGCTAACTTAACCGAATAATTTCAAGCCTCCGTGCTTGCGTCTTCACAACAACATGACCTAACCTTAAAGTTAATAACTGTGCATCTATATGTTTGTGATTTTGCAATGATGTGACCCACGCCATCATTAGACAATTTTAGGTTGGCAACCTATGGTTTCAAGGTTGGGGGTGACTGTAGCACTGATGTGCACGCAATTACCTTTCATAGGAATGGAATCGAGGCACAAGAGAGTGGTGATGTCCTTAAACGAAAAGAATAGAAAAGTAAAAGTGGAGAAGCTTCTAGATTCTGGACACATTTGGACCAATAATGGTTTGAATATTTTATACAGACCATCATTAGTCCGAATGTAACCAATTATGATCATTTAATCACTTTTTGGTCAAGTATTACATATTCAAACCGATTTCAGTCCATAAATTTGTACCGCCAAAATTTTGCCAAAAAAATTAAATTGTTTTGTC